GATTACTGTTTTTGATTTAGATTTAACCAATAATGATAGCTATGCACTCTAAGCGGCTTATAGTAGTGCAAATACCAATCTATAGTTCTGCGTTTTTCAAATTTTCAAATAAAGTTTTTTCAATAAGTTAGGGCTAGTTGAAAAGACCTTTTTTCTTGTCCTACACATCAAGTTTATAAGGTGTGTATTAAAAAAAATGAAATAATGAAACACAGAACTATAGAAAATTTCACCCTCTTTAATATGAGACCTTAACTTTGATTCTACCTTCAATGTAGCAGGTGAAAACAGTAATCTTGCAAACCCTTGCATTCGGTTGCGCGTCAGGGGTAGAGCGCACCCTTAAGGTAAACACTCAAGCTAAAGACGTATTAGTAATAAAACTTATTATCAACATTATTGAGTTTGAAAAAAGATGGATTACTTCAATTTCAATAGTATAATTATAGCTACTCAGGCTTTAATTCCTAGAAGAAAAGGTTAAGCATGTTTAATTACAAGGCATGCTTATAAGATATTAAAACTACCATTACAATCCAATACTACTTTTAGGCCTTTAAAATCACAAGTATCAATAAAGTCTTAGATTAGTTTATTTTATTTTAATATTTAGCAAACCTTGTCAATAAAAGCCAAAAACACCAAAGACTAGGATTAGGTCAAATGCACATTAAATTCCATTCAAGTTATGTTAAAAGGTTTTTTGTTTGTTTACCAAAAATATATTTACTTTTTGTATGGCCTACAATTGAATAATAACCAAACACATAAAGGCCGGCGCACACAGAGACAGACAGACTCATGAGAACGGACAGAGTTTTTTGTAACACACACAGCAGCAGGAGTCCACAAGCGGACAAACTATCTCCTCCCTTCTTCATCTCGTAAAAACTATAAAAAAATAAACGCAACAAAGTGTGGAATTGGATGTCAGTCCCTCACAAGTAGGTGATGTAATTACAGGGTGTCTAGCATCCCATCAAAATAAAATTGAAGGATGATTCCAGGTGTTCCAGGCTCATAAAAAAATACATCGATAGGCTAAGTATTCATTTGCTGTATTAATTTAGGTATTTTATGACCATTGTTAAAACATTGTGAAATGTCTACAACAATAAATTGATTTGATTCAAAATTTGGACAAAACTTGCCGCTAAAAAAAATTAAAACAAATTCTGTGATGATTTATTTTGCAAACGCAGCCACATTGGTGGTCATAACGTTCAATTGCGGCAAAATCCATGATCATTTCTTATTTTCTTGTGATGTTGGACATCTGTGAACGTATCTTGAAATCAGCGCAAAATTTGAAGTTATCATGAAATCGCGACAAAATTTGTGATCATTTCTTGCGATGGCAGCAACGTAATAGTTTCCTCATCTAAAGTGATTAAACTACGCAAAACGAGAAAAATCTTTGACGGATTATGCCGCTAGTATTTAAACATTTAAATTTCCCAGCTTTTTACAAAATTAACGAATTCATATTCCCCCGAACAATATTCGCTGACAATATTCCCCCCCTCATTGAATATTACGTAAAATTCCTGGGTTCCAGGTGGGCTGGACACCTTTACAAACCCCGCACCTAGTGGCATTGTGAAGAAGTAATGTTAAAAAAGCCTCTTTGCACACACGCAGCAAAAAAAGTCCGCAGGAGGATTTTTTTAAATCGCCTGAGAGACTATTCCAAAAGATCCGTCGGCGAACTTAAGCGGACTCCTGCAGATGGACAGATTCCTGAGTGCGTTGCCACATTTGATAACATGGGGAGCAAATATTTGTCCGTCTGTCTGCGTGAGTCCGACTGTCTCTGTGTGCGCCGGCCTTAAGGTTTAAAAGCAAATCAGTTAGTTGTATTAATGTCCATCACATGAATTGGAAAGTGCAATGGAAAAACATTTAAGGGATCCAAAGATGTTAATAACAGTGTTGGTCATTTTGGATGAAAAGGTTTGCCTGTAATTAAATATTCTCATCCATTCTTTTATCAAAACTTTTAAGCCACAGCCTACCCTGTAAATATGTCTGCTTTAACAGCATTTCCATTGATTCCAATCTGCTATCTGATACAAAGTTGTCCCAACTTCATTACAATCAATGTTCTTAACACTTTCTTTACAAGGATTATTCAGAGATTTTGTTGTTTCTTAATATTATGTTAAATCTCATCTTATGAACAACAAAAAAACAAATTACTTCAAAAAGCATTACGTTTGACATACACAATCAGGATTAGCCAAAAGAAACTAAGATCAATTCGCCAAGAACTATCCGACTATTTAAGCTTCTACTTAAGGCCTCCATATTCGATAGGCTAGGTGTTTTTTGTTATTTTGCAATTAATGATTCTTAATTAATTATGTAAATGATACATGAATGGCACTAAGATTTTATGTAGGTACCGACAATTATTTCAGTATCATCTTTTGTTCAGGATGGGAATCAATGGAGACTCTGTTTTAACGACAAATACCAAGTCAAACGCTCTTACAAGTTAAAAACAAATTTGAAACTACATCTCTTTACTACCACAAAACTGATCTAGGCTAATTAAAAAGAAATAGTTTAACATTATAGTATTTTAAACTTTATAGGTACGTAGTGAAACTTTTGTAAGCTACCAGTACACCTCTTCGAAAAAAGCTTAAGGTATTTTTCTATATAACAATAGATAATTGGGATCTTAGATGAATATAAAACAATTTTTAATTTATGTTGAAAAGAAAAACACTGTGATAAGAGTAAACATATGAGCAAGTACAGAAGTTTTTCTTCTTTTTTGTGTATAACAATATTTAATAAATTTGTTTGCCCTAAAATGCTTTTATAGTTTTCTATCCCATACCTTGAATAACAAAGAAATGTTCTAACCCTATAGTTTATTTTAAAACCCATAAAACACCTTCTTAAACCTGTCAACATCTTGTATTATATTAGTATGAATGACGAATAAATAAGGACATAGAACCCTATAGCCTAATGAATTATTGATTCAAAGTACTTGAAACTGGGATTTGCAAACTGTGGTCCCATACTTCATTTAAGACATTGATATCAATTAGCAAGATAAGATCAAGAGTTACTTCTAGAAAAAAAATATATAACATGGAAGAATGAGCTTGTGAACAGAGACAAAAAAGTTTTTGTCTGATTTTTCATATAAGAATACTGGAAAATTTACATCAAAAGAAAAAAATCATATCTGTACTTGCTCGCTCTAAAACTGTTACTATCAATGGTAGCCATTTTGTTTACCAACCTCCACAAATATAGCTAAAATTATTTTACTTTAAGGTAAGGATTTAGGTTCTCTAGAGGATTTTTTTAAATATAATTTATAATTCAATCCTTGAACTATTAATTTAATAAAATAGAACTACAAAGGTGCAAAGCAACAATACAAATTTTTATGATATGGCTAGACAAAAAACTAGTCTCTTTTTACAATTGTAACGGGTCAAATTTTAACGTGGGGTATTATTTTGCGGTCATCCCAAATACGCTGATTTGTTTCAAGTAAAGGCGGCGACGAACACTGGACATCGTGATGTCATATGAAGGGGATGACCGTAGTTTTCAACCCTGACGCCGGGGGCGGTAGGAGAGAACCGCTCAAGAAGCAACCCGGGCAGCCAGTCGTCCTTCAACCTTGAAACATTCGCTACACGACTCCCTACAAACCAATATCTGGCGATAGCCGATATTAAAATCAAGGGACGATACGAACACTTGTACGTGTAGAGCCATGCGATAATGCCAGATTTAATTACCAGTCACGTTTAATATAATTAATTAAGGTTATATTTCGTATTTCGTTGATAACCCATGTTCAAGGCAGGATTCTTCGCGTACGCATAAGCATAGACTCTGTCTTACACAAGGCTTTGGTGGTTACCAAGCATTACAAACGTTTTATTACTTCAATTTGCGTTATAAACACACGTTATATTGACCGATTAAAATTAGTTACGAACAACTCTGGTGATTGACTGAGTTATTATTATTAGGATACATTTTACTTTGGTGTCAACCAAGTACCGATTCACGTTTTATTAAACCTTGTTAAATTATTCCGATATATTCTTATCCGCGCGTTATTTTCATTCTAAATTCTAAATTTAGCTTACGCATATTTTTGGAATGGCTGTGATGAGCACTAGTTATATAGGTAAGCTAAACGTTGTAAGGATTGTTGTAATTATTATTCTGAGCCAACAAAATCCAACCGACAATTAATTAACAAACACGTTAGAATCCTGGACTATCTCATTTTAGGGTAGGCTATCTGGACAAATTTTAAGGTGTGACTAATTTCAGGTGAGACGACTATTATGTATTATTTCACTAAGCCCCGATTTTAAAATCTAATTTTGTGTCTCTACCCGAAAATTCTGTCATACAATAATCAAAACAGAATGAAAACAAAAGCCCCAAATTATCATTTCCTTTGACCTTAACGTAAAATATATATTTTTTTACTCCAACAGAGATCTCCATTTTTGTTGCTGATTTTTCCTACCACATTATGGCTACCAAAGATTAACAGGGGAATTTTCAACTATTAAATACTACACACATTATTGGACTAATCTATTTCTATACATGGTTATATTCTATTGGTAAATACTATTTGACACATCCATATCACAAACATGACTGAATAGGTGACTAACTATAAATACTAATAAATACTTCGTCCATAAAGTGACATGATATTTGCATACAGCTTTGTTACTAGGTTTTATTTTTACATCCTTTATGTTATGTTAGTACACAATTTGGTAACTTGTGATGAATTAACCTTATAAACAATGAAGCACACGAATAATAGAATAAAATAAACAAACATATACTAAAAAAAAATTAAATACAAAAATATTTCATCAATTCTAAAAATTAGTGTTTTAAATTTTTGAGCTACAAGAAATAAATCTGTATTAACAGCTTTGCTGAGCAGCAATTTTCAACCTAAATTTATTATACATTTTTTAAGCCTAACCTAGAAAATCAGGAGACAATTATTAATTAAACATGCATATTAACACAAATAAATACTAAATTGTCAACATAAAATAAAATTGTTTACTAGTTTGTAACAAAAAACCTATAAATAAATATTTATAAAATCTGAAAAAACAATCCTTACTATTTTTACACCAGTTATTTCTATCACATATACTTGGCAGTTTCCATCTTCAACCTCATTGTTACTTCCTATCACAGATATAAATTTTATGCCTACTTCTGTATCGGTAACTGGTAACATTCATGAGTTCTTAGGCCTCTATTACATGTTGCAACTTTGCTTAGAAAACCTGTTTCAGTTTGGTTTCTCTAATGTTTTTTCCAGAAAGATCATAACTTTTGTAGTGTAAACAAGTGCCAGTTCAATTATTTCAGTGTTTGCAACTTAGGGGGCAAGAGTCTTATGTATATTCTTAATTGGAAAAAATTGGTTGTAATTGGAATTAAGTGTATGTGCACCAGCATTTGCTTACCTGCTGTTCTACCGTTTATTATTCCAAAATATATTTTAAGGGTACTTAGTTTTCTATAGGCCTAATGTATTTATATATTTAAAAAATAGTAGCCATAATCACTATAATTTTCATATTAAAAAATAAACATCTTAAGCAAAGTTGCAAGTATTTGAGCATTCTTCTCGACTTAAGTATGCCATGGAGTAAAAACTACTTAAGTGTTGGTACTTCTGATGGTAGTGTAGTGACTAATTAAACTACAGTAAAGTGTTGGATTTTCAATGTTTGCTACTTCATAGAAAACGTCAACAGTCTGAAGGACAACTAATTTTTACCGCTCACTGTTATTTTTTTAGAACAATATTTGTTTACAGTATGTAATTTGTAACATGCTTGAACTCATTATTGTAAGTGTGTTTTATTTTATTTTTAATTTTTTGTAATGGAACATACAAAGTTTAGATGTTTAGATCTAACTCTTGTTCAATTCAATCTTATTCAGTACAGCCATTAGAGATACTGAAAATAAAAGATGTATTCGAGTCATTCAGAATAATTTGTAAGGGGTTTGAAGTTAAGTAATCAATCCGATGTTTAAAAGGTTTACAATTTAGTGATATAGTAATATGTATAAACAGTACAGCCTTATGTGAGTGTACTTTAACATTTTTTTTTTTTATCCACATAAGAACCAAAATTAGTTATGAGAAGTCACAATTTACAGTATATAAAGCTTTTGTTGACGTTTTACCAAAATCATCCTGCAACCAATACTTTACTGTAGCATCATTATAACCATTGTTTACAACTAACCTATCAGCAGGCTCCGAGTGACTAGGTGGTGTTTTGGCTCAGTCTAGAGTGCCTCTTTTGACTCTTGCGTCCTCCAGTGAAGTACGACAGCTTCTCCAGCAGATACTCTTTATCTCTAGACTCTGCATGGAGCATTTCTCTCAATATCTCAACCATCTTCATCTGGGCGTTGGATTGGGCTCGCAAATAGTACACTCCCGCACTAGACAAACAAATAAATGTATTTTAAATTGTAAACTTATATACTTAAATCTAGCCAATTTTGGTTTTTGACTTCAAACTTTTGATTCTTTAGAATTTTGACAAACCATTACAACTACTATTTTAAGAAGTGACATGATAAAACAGCAATTGTTAACATTTGTATTGGTAACCAATAGCCATGTGTAGCAGGCAGGACTGCATAATAGGACATGGATTAAGTAAATCATGTGCCACCTTGAAGTTCTAACCCTGTCTAAAGTATCTGGAGAACTATAAATAATTCACTGACTAATCCTCTATGCGTGCAGAACAGATATGAAACAAAAATCAGTTACAAACCATCAGTTCATAAAGAGATAAAAATATGGCAATAATAATAGATAATGAATGAAGATAATGAATAATAATAACTTTCAATAGTCAATTATAATAGTCAATTACATGAGATTTAAAAATCACATCAGTTGAAGCAGTAAATTACAGTCCAAATTTTGACTTAAAAGAGTTGACTTTCACTTTAATTTTTCTGTTTTAACTGTTTGTGATTCCCAAAGCTCATGTAATTGACTATTCTTATTCTTATCACCTTGTCATATTTTTATCTTTTTAGGGACTGATGTATTGTGTAACTGATTTTTGTTCATATTTGCTCTGAACTTGTAGAGGATTACTGATTTTTTATTTTTATACTTGTTTTTTTTATTTTTTTTTTGTTTTGTTTGTGTTTTGTTTGTTTATTTGTTTTTTTTATTTATTTGTTTTTTTATACTTTTTTACTTGTTTTCTTTATGTTAAGTTTTAGATTTAGTTTTTGACGCCATTCCATGTACTGATTTATGTACAATATAAAATAAAGAAAAGACAATTTGATTTGATTTGATATACTTCAGGGTTTACCTTTGGTCAAACAGATTACATTTCCCTTTGACTATTACAGAAACACCCTCTACTGACCACAAAATTGTTAATTTATGACAAATTGACTAACTTTAATGTATCTGTGAGACATTCAATGGATATCCCTCTTGAATCAACTTATTGTAATTTGCACAAAATATCACTAGGGTATATTTTTCTATTTGTTTACACACTCGCAATAAACTCACCACATAGTCAGCAGCACCCCCGCCACCACACCAGGTTTGGTGAGGAACATGAGGAAGTACCAGAACTCATTTCCTTCCTCCACTTGGAAGGCATCCTCTAGGATCTTCTCATACATGTAGGTCTTACCTTGGAAGGGACCACAGGCGGATGTGTTCACTCTGAAACACTTCTTTTTGTAGGAACATTGCCATCATTGTAAACAAAACTTTGAGATATTTATTTTGGAAATGTTTCAAAAAGGAAATTATTTTTTTTTACTTTTTCAGAAACCATTTCTTATAGTAATAAATAATTACTCAACTAATTTTTCCAAGTACAACAGCTTTTTAAGTGACTTTAGGGGATGAATATGGTGGAACACAATAGAATAGAGTTATAAAAACCACAATCATACTGCACCAATTATATCACCTATTCTGAGGCTTACTTCAATGTTGGAAAGTATAAGACTTAAATCGCTATTTTGGTGAATAAAACACAGTAACTAATTTAATTGGTAATGTTCTACGAAGTTTAGGCAAAGAGTTAACAACCGTACAATCCTTCTCATTTTACAATCTCATTAATATTTTGCTATCTACATTAAGGAAGTTGATTTATTTCCCAAGGATATGAATGATTGATTCATTTTTATGACTTTGAAAGGGGTTGTATTCCAAAAGTTGTGTTCTTACCGTGTGATGATATAGCCATAGGTCACAAGAACTCCGAGAAGTGCGATGAAAGTGAAAACCAAAAATAAAGTTTCCGTCTGTGAAGCTCTCCAAGACCTGGACGATGGCTCACAGTTGTTCAGAACACCAAACTGTAAACACACGGAGGATTACTTACCATCCTTACAGCAGAGGAATAGCAATCTAACCACAGTTGTGTTATGAAAGTGAGTTTTATCTGATTCCCTAGCGATGAAAAAAAAATATCCACAAAGTGTTATAGAAACAAAATCAACCTACAACTTAGTTTCATATATTTCTCTGTTGTTTAGTTGTTTGGCATGATTCAACTAGCTCTTTGGCAGGAGAACACTTTACCGAATTTTAAACAAAGTAAATATATTAATAATTCAAATGTAAACAAGACTAGTCTGAGCTTTGGTGTTGTTGCCATGAAAGCTTATCAATATAATCATCAAAAAATCCAAACCTAAAAACTTAAGACACGACCATAAGGACGTGAATGTGCCGATGAATGTCATCAATCCCGCTCGCCTACCCTCCATCACCCCTATATGTTGGCTGAGGTAAAAATCTACCTTTGTGTAAGGTTAGATTTCAGCTCTGTAAGTTCAGTCATTTTTACACTCATCCTGAACAAATAAACCCTGACAGAAACCACCTCTTCATTAATGGGTGGCACATTAGGTAAAAGAACTTCTACGGCCAATTTGGATTACCTTATGAAACAAACAAGGCCTTTATGGTGGATTTACAATTATTGTCCTACTACCAACTGAAAACTCTTCCTACTCTACCAACTTTGTACCTTTTTGATATAAAACGTGAGGAACATTTTGATGACCATGACCATAGAGAGCAGCGGGCTGAAGAAGAAGCCGACCCAGAACAGTGTCTGGTTGTGTATGAGGTTGAGTGTGTTGCGGGAGAGGTCGAAGGCAGGAGCGGCCACCGACGGCCACACCCGCCTGACCAGCCTGGCTCGCACAGTCTCGGCCAGCGTAGTGGCCAGAACAGCCAGTAGCAGGTCGGTCATCACCAGCCTATACACTTCCTGGCCTAGCGACGTCTCCCAACACTGCCAACCAAATAGTTTGATGTTACCAACTTCTTTGTGTGGAAACCATTATAACATAGAATAGAGTTAATACTCCTTATGAATTAATGCGGATATTTGATTTATACCTAGTAGCTTTAGCTCTGCCATTAGGATGATTACAAGTCTACAATGAAAAATCTGTGACTGAAATCTACTAAAAAATCTCCTAGTATTAAATAATAGGTTTTCCATAATTTACCTAATTTTTAATATGATTTCTGTAAGCCATCTGTAAAAAGTAAAAAGAATAGTATTCTGAAATTGTAAAAAAAGCAAATGAGCAAATTGTAACCTCCTCTTTACTCCCTTAGAAAACAGTCAGTAAAATAATTTATTCAGTAGTATTTTTATGAACATGATTATATATTTGTAATTTGAGAGATTATTGTGGATGGTTTCTGTCAAAATTAATAAAAAAGAGTTTTCTTAATGTTTTAGGATATGGTAGCCTATCTGGTTCGGTCCTCTGGTGAGTGATTAAACCCAGAACATAACAGGATTTACACAAAAAACCCCAGGCAAAACTGCAATACCAAAAGAAAAAATATAACTGCATTATAGTCAAAACTATAAACAAAATTTATATATAATTTTCAGGGTTTGTGTACAAATCTTTTTTAGGTACTTACTAACCTGAAGATTCACCAGATCCAGAAACGTTGTGAAAACTAGTTTTTCACTAATCATGACAAGATGTCTACAACAAACTTACCCTCATCAAAAACTCCAAACAATCTTAGTAAATAGTGAGTATACTAACCAAATGGAAGTCCTGCCTCTGTAGCCAGAAGACCACCAGCACGGCCACAACTATGAGCTCCAACAAGAAGGTACGAACCATCGTAACATACAGCGACACTCTTGGCCTATGGTACTCCTCAAACCTGATAGAAGTGAACGTTCAGTCAGTTACACATTTGTAAAGTTATAGATTCAATATCCGTCACTACACTAATGGTATTATTATCTTAAAAAATATATAGCAGACCCCTGTTTTTTAAACACTTCTTGACCAGGGCCTGGTCTAAATTTTAAGTCTGCATCACAAGTCAATACAAAAGTGAATAGTAACTTGTCGAATCCACATATTATGTGTGCAAAATTAGTGAACTGCAAGAATAGAACACAATAAATCTGATTTTACCAAACAGTACCGTACGGACAGGTAGTGACTTGTTTAAATTACATGGCTATGGATAAAAAGGTGCGAGTCATATGAAGATGACAGCTAAACTATCTGAATTTTGATACAAACGGATATGAATGAGGGAGTTTATTGAACATATATTCCTGTCAATATAGAATAAGTTGTTATTAAAGGATTTGTATTCACTGTACCTGACGAGGTATGAGAAGAGCATGGGCAGCAGTATCAGTATTGAAGTGATGACAAATGATATTGCAATAGAATCTCCTGCTGTGCTCACCGACGTCTCCTCCTGGAATAGATTATTTATCAGATAACTTTAAATTGGCACATGACAAAGACCAAGCCCTTTAGGAATTGTCATGATTTCTTGATCAATATCTATTCATACTTGACTGGGTCGGTGGTGTCGTCTTGTAATCCAGGTACTAGGAGGTCACGAACTGTGGATATTTATAGGCATGCACTGTGGATGAGATACTCCCTGGTGTGGATTAACTTCCGCTTTAGTGAGTACTACGACTCCGCAGTACTATCCTGATAATTAGACCAATTCGTTAATTACAAGGGAAAAATGTGGTTCAGATTCCACTATAAACTGTAGGTCCCTTAGTTGCTATTGGCTGTATGGGCTATTAATTATCAGCTGTGTCTAAGGAATATGTCGGCCTTAGTTACTAACAAGACTACCAGATTGCGCTACTCATCCTACACTCATCTTCATTCATACTTGGCTTAAAATACCTAATTTCGTATGGTCGCCATTTCAAAGCAAAGTATTAGAGTACTAACTTGTTCATACTTTTTCAAAACTCCTTAGACCTAAAAATGTCCTCGGCTCAACTTTCACCTAAGCCATACATCGTATATTAAGGGTGGGCCCTCTCACCGGTAAAGCTACGAATTTATTACCATCTATACTTCTATGTTTCCTAATCAGCTGAAATAAAGATGCACACCTAATCCTATTGCCATTTACTTTCTAAGAACGAAAATGTGTGTCCTACTATGCATGAACAAATACACTAGCCCTTAAAAAATGTAAAAAGTGACTCGACTTAATTGCAAATTTAAAAATTATTAACATACCATTATAGTTAATCATTAAATCATTTCATAAATAAAGGTTAACACAAAACAAAAACAAAGTAAAAGTGTTAAAGTATTCAAAAATTTGAAAACCATTAAAATGCAAATGTTATTTTTTATAACAACCAAATTATTTTTAAAAACTTCCACTGGCTCTACTTACGTCTAAAACAATCTCAATGACGTCGCCCGCCTGAGAGTTAAGTTTAGCCAGGAAGGAGTGAGTGAGAAGAGCGTAGACCAGACATCCAGTAGCTCCTGACAGTACAAGGAACAGTGCGGAGACCAGACAACGCTTTATCTTGACATACAAGTCATTCCACCAGTCCAACTGTAGTAGCACTGCTCTGGCGTCGTCCTCCATTAGTTCCTGTGAGAATCATTATTGATATAGACAATACATACCTAAGACAAGACAACTGTCTTTTAAAAACCAAGAAATTCCATATGTAGGACAAGCTGTACCCATTTTATTTCAAATAGTACATAGTTGAACGAGCTTTCACTTACTGAGCAACTGGAAAACTGTTGTTTCTCTGTTGTTCGTTTCTTATATAGTTTTCCTTTTGATTTGACTTGGCTCTCATGGAAGCGCAAATCAATTTAGTCCATTATTTCAATAAATTGATAATAACTTTAATGAGAGAATGGTCTAATCATCTTCACAGTATTAAGTTAAGACCTATTCCTTTTTGCTTTACAAGTTGTTGGTCATGTTTCGCTCAGAGCTGATATACAGTGGCTGTTTGAATGTATACAGTGGAGTTTGAGGATCAAGTATGAAAGCACTGAGAATAGTAACTTTGCATCAGGCTAAATACCAACTTCAAAAATGATTTAACAAACCAAAACTATCCTCAGAAAATCACTCTTCGGGAAGAACAGATTTTAGCCTTTGAGCAATACTGTTTAACTGGTTACAAAATGAAAGCTGTTATTATAAAGCATTTTTAAGATTAATTCCTTTAAAGTCTTGGTAATATTTTGACTATGACTATTTATTTCCTTCAAGCTTGTTCTTCCATTCATTAACACAAAAACAGAACACACAAGGAGGATGGTTAAAAAGCGGCAAAATTCTTCATCATATGTGCAATTAAAAAATTATCCACTGATTTCATTAACTTCCAAACAATTTATCCTCTTCATTTTAGGTGGTCCTCTCTCACCTAGCTCTAACACAGATGGTTGAACCACTCATGAGTAGTTGTACACCATACCTAGCCATGACGGTATTTGAATACCAGCCTAAAGTGATGTTTTCTAACTGAAGTGACAATAACTTAACCTCTCAGCCAGGGTCGCCACCCGTCCTGATTCTGTTGTGAGATAGTCACGATTTTGGTTTCTTGTGTCCGTGTTTATGCACATGTTAATCCGCGGGGAGGTGTGGGGCATCCTGATTTTTTCCTAACAAAAGGTGGCAACCCTGCTCTCAGCATATTAACCATATCACTAATAAACACCCTAGCATGTTAATCAAACAAAACCCTATCAGTGTACCTTTTATTAGGTTCATGCTAAAAACATACTGTAAACACATACAATCTTTTAAAGTTCACACAGACTATGTATGTAAATAAAGAATACCTTTAGCTCCCTGGCAAGACTCTCCGCCTTGAGTTTAGCCGCTTTCTCTGTGGCTATGCTGAAGTCCCAGCCGCAGAACACCTTATGAGCGTAGATATTCTTGATACCTCCGGCTGTCTCTATGAAGCTCTTGCGGTACGAGCTCGCCATTCTGCCAAATATACAAAACAGCTGACACCTAACTGAGTAAAAGCCTCATTTGATTCATTCCTAACAAATAGGTAAAGTGTATACAATGTTTTTAAAGGATTCAACAGTTATTTGAATTAGGGAACACATGTTGATTAGGGAATTAGATTTCATTTAAAGACGAATGATGATTTAATACGTTTTTAACAAGACCCATGCTGGAAAATATACCCTGTGACATGCAATATACAATTTAAATTATTGTTGTTATTAAATCCTGGCCCTAACATCACTACTTGGAAGATCCAAACAAACAAAATTATTTTATGGCGTAAAATTTGTCTGCTATTACTGCAATAAAATAAAAAGAATTGTAACAGCAGCAACCAAACAAATTTTTAAGCAGCAGACCTTACTTTACCTCAAGTTGTCTCTGTTCCTTTTAACAACTTAATTATAAGCGTGGATTTGTAAACTATAATAAAACCATAGAAAAAAGGATCAATTACTTCTAATGGCCATCAATTTAATTAATAATGAAAATCATTCACAGACAAACTTTAAACCAAGATTTTACAACGTGCACTGCACATAAACCAATATAAAACATAACTAATGAAGCAAATTAAATTTCAAAATAGCGCTAATGTGCCTAAAACAAAATCTACGAGCAGGGACATTAAGAGAAGCAAAAAATTATATACTTACTTTACCTACCCAACTGATATGACGATAAACGTTACAGCATATGACAACAGCGCTGTGATAAAGTAGGCTTTTGGAACAGAATATCCTGATTGTAACTTTGGATCCAGCTCTCGTAAACTTGTGTAGTAGCCGTAGTAAAGAGACGAGTTGGTGAAATATCCCTGCAAACACCGAGAGCTCTTTTTTTAATTTTTATCCTGGTGTCTTTACTCGCTGGCAAATAGTGGCCAGAAAAATGTTAAACTTAATGCTAAGAAAAAATAATTTACTTATTACATAGGGATTTTTTTGTAATTGCGGTAACATTTGGAAAATCTTGTTTATGTTGCTTTAAGTGATCAGCATATAATCTAAGAAGAAAGCCAGGAGGTAAACAGATTGGTGAGTTCGTTTGAAAGCTCCAAACTCCTAAAAGAAGGGAAATTACAAATAACCATCTCATACATCTTAGAAAACCTATCTTACAATTGACTTCAAATTCAGCAATCATCATTTTGATCAAAACCATGATAACAATTTATTGTAAATATACAATCCACAGTTACAGTCAAAACTCCAACATCTTGGGTCTACACTGAGTACAATTTATCACAAACATTCTACAGCTTCATACCCCATATTTTTTGGCTATTAAACTCTCACCTACAATTTAAGGTATGCAAACAACACAATACAGTTTTACTTACTTCACCAGTGAAGACGTTTCCTAATTTGAAAGGCACATAGACAGCTTTATCCGATCTGTTATCAGTGTTGCCAACACCGAACGAGTTGTCATCAACGGAGGTCTGCCGCACTGAGGTGAGCAGCTCGACTAATGATGACGACCTGTTCTGAGCCGCAGCACGATGCTGGATCAGGTTGGGCACCACTACGAAACATAAACTGAAACAAAATCATATATAAAGGGTGCGCCAAAATAACCTGACGGTTTTTAATATTAAATAATTCAAGAACAAAATACAATTTTATGTATTAAATAATATTATATTGTACACACTACTATGCCATTTTCATTTATGAACAATTATATCACTTAGGACCTTCTCCTAATCGCAGGCTTCCCATTTTTTTTTTTTTTTTTTTTACATATTTGCAGTCACTTTAGCCTGATGAATAGAAGCAATCTCTTCCCGGATACACTGCTTGAGTTCATGGATGGTTCGAAATTTCTAAACAAACATTTTGCTTTTTTAGTATACCCATAGCCAACAGTAACACGAAATTAAGTCTGGGGATCGAACTGACCACGCACATCACCAAACCGTGAGATCACTATACCGGGAAAAGTTCACGCAAAACTGTCATTGAATAATTGGCTGTATGAAAAGTTGCGCCGTCCTGTTGAAACCACGTGTTGGTCATGTCTATCCCTCCTAACATTCGCAGTTGTGGAACCAAAAACTCCCTCAGTATGTCCTCATAGCGTTCCGAGTTTACAGTGACAGGGGGTGTTCCCCCTTTCGTCCTCAAAAACATATGGTTCGATGACTCCAAGCCGTGCCACACCACACTAGACAGTAACTTTCTTTCGACGAAGTGATGTTTCACCTAACATAACCTAAAATGGCATAACATAAGCAATCGTTCACTACAACAATGAGGCCTCTAGCTTGTATAACAGCTGAGTTATTACAAATCAGAAACCGTCAGGTTTTTTTGGCGCACCCTTTATGTTTATTTCAATGAAAAAAACATATTATGATATTAAAGATGTTTTAAATACTGTATATATATGTATGATACTGAATGTTTTTTACTCCGCCCTTGCACTACCCACAAAAGGTTTTATTGTGACAACTCAATGCTTTTAATAATTCTACTTCCAACTGAGTAGAACTTCACATTCTACTACAATGTAATAGTGATGGGTCGGTACTTAACATCAAATGTCGGTTCTACCGGTTCTTGGGAAAAGTACCGGGACCGAGAATTGATGGTGAAATGATCGATGGTGAAATGTTGGTACCGATACCCTCAGTACCAAATTAATTGGTTGTATTTTTATTTAAAAATTTGAAATTGTCAATCATGATGATTATTTTTTACTTAGGGCTATTTGAAAGGGCATATTTTTATCACGAAATATTATCAAATAAGCTATAGGATGATTTTTTCAGTGTTATTTTGTTAAGTTGTAGTCACTATGGTCAGCTGATAGAGTAGTGCAAACACGCCAATTGATTCACCATCTATCTTCAAGTCAAGCAGAAGACAGAACCAGAAGGCAAGCTCAATAAAGACCGGATGATCAAATAAGTGATTTATTTGGACTAAACAAAATTATTACACTACCTTGAAACAATCCTTTCTTTATCTGAGGTTGATTATTAATAACATATAGTTACAAGTTACAAGATTAACGATTACTTATTTAATACGCAAGCAGGTTTTTTGTGACAATTACTCCTACAAAAGTACTGAACCGATTGACATGTTTTTGGTGTCATTGGAAAGAGCGAAACGTGAAGTTGTGCAGGAAACTTTCTTTTTAGGGAAATAATTAGAGAGTGAGGCCCTGGGGCCCTTCAAAGTTTCGTATTTCTCCTTAAGATTAACATGGGAAACAAACATTGTTATGAAACTCCAGCTGTTGTCAGAAATTAAAAGTGAGAAGAAGAACATTATGTTAATTGTAAACAGTCAATAAGTTTGCTAATTCAACAGTTTGCTACAAACATTTACTGACTTGATTGAAATGAAATATTTACTATTTGAATTTGGGTTGGCGTAAATATTACAATGGAAAAAAGCGGGAGAGCCTGGATAATTTGATGAAAACTGAACTAACACTGTGCTGCTTTTCTTAGTAATCATTGAAAGAGCCGATTTGCAAACTATGGAAACATAAGAAAGTCACAGAACACCACCAAAGAGAAGAAATACAAATAATTTTTTTTTTATATTTATAATCGTTATTATGGACAACCTAATGCGGCTATGAGTAAGGCTAAAAACACTAAAAAACAAGATCAGCTTTTGAAACATGATAAGATATTTACAAGAAATGTTGATTATATCGATCTATTATGTACATCTTGAGTAGGGCCTATTTCCATAATCTTTGAGTCGGATCTTTTAAAGTCATCAAAAATTATGACTGTTGTTCGTTTTAAAATAACCTGTAATACTTAGCAATTGCTCGAATTGGAGCAACAGGTACACTAGTTTTATTTAATTCATAAAGTTAAAAATAAAACAATTAAGTAGCCTAATTTAAAATGAAGTAACAATGGTACCGGAACCGAGAACCGAGAATCAATTTTTTTAGGAACCGGTACTGGTACCAACATTGAAGAAGTGATACTGACCCATCACTACAATGTACATATTAGATATCTTACCTAGCTTATGAAACACCTAAAAAACAACAAAACTTAAGTGACTAAAAGTAAAACCACTACCTCACCTGATAAAAAATACAAACAGGTTCATCAAAAACAACCATCGTAGAAATTTAAAATAAGCAGCCACTCCACTTCCGAAATGTCCTTCAATCTCTTTCAAGCTCGAATACCACAGTTCCCAGCTTGAAAATACATCTCGCATTGTCAAATGAAGCTGAAATACACAGAAAATTTTAAGGATTTAACAAGTTTAAATTATAAATTCAAACAACAGCCTGACAATCAAAATCAGAAACTTTCAAACTTGTTTTATTTGTTGAAACTTTAAAACTAAATGTATATCAATCAATGTATATAAATTGGTGGGTCAAGTATAAATAATTAAATTCAACGTAATTGAGACTTATATCTCTTTCCTTAGTCACAATGATAAATCTAACTGAAATGAATAGCTTTAATGTTTGTCGTTTTGTTTTTTTAATGAAAATCCATGTTTTATTTATTAAGGAAATTGACAGGAAAGCGGGCCTACCTTTAAATAAGTCCATAGAGACACATAAAATACACAACACAAAAGTAGAAGTTTTTGTGACTGGAGGAATGGCAATGCCAGTTGTAATTTGAATCTATTACACCTTGTCAGGGTTGCCAACACAGCTGAAGAGTCTAAAACTTGTTTTTACTGTTGCATATGTAAAAATAGCCTAATCCTCATCCACTATATTTTAACTTTTGTATATTTACACATGTACATACATAAAAAATATACTAGCCTTCTATGAAAGGTGAGGAATGGGGATTATCTTATATTAAGGTTTGGTGGGTTTCTAGAGTGGGTGAACCATTGGTAGCTTAATTCCCATCTTCTCAGTTCTGAGTGGTTGCAGTTTGGAGGCAGTTGTTTTATTATTTTTGAAGCAGCTATTGAAATCAGATTTGGAGTGTGATGAGGCTTGGTTGATTACTGATTTGTCATTCTTATGAATCGGACGATACCAGATGAGTCATACTTTCGCCCGCCAAATCCCCTTCAAGTAGGCCAAGGTCAGGTCGTTGACCGGAGTGCGCGCATAACCTGTCACCGCCTGTATCTGGGTCAGTGTCTTGAGTGATCACTCATCTGGTATTGTTTGATTCATAATAAAACGAGGAAAGTCCTAATAACATATTTATGATAAATTGCCGCAGCGCGCTGTTTGCCTACTTGGCAGAGTACATGTGGCATGCTAGTACATGACGCATTCAACTCAATCCTCGCTGACATCACTGCCTTATGGGAGGCAGAACTCAAAGGCTGCTAATCGTAATCATGTCATATTTGGACAGTTAGTCAATTAAAGTATGTTCTTTCCAATTATGTAATTACTTTTAGTCTCCGGTAAAAAAATCACTCTAAAATAAGTGGCCTCCGTATAATACAAAAGTACCAAACGATCAGTTTACACTCACCCTGCTGAAGAATATGCAAACTCTGTACTTGGACAGTTTCCAACAACTCATTGGTCTCCTCTTAGACTTCATACTGACTGTGTTTGTGAGCTTCACTTTGACAGTTCGTTTTACTGTCAAATTCTGGGGCATTTCTCTCAGAGCTTCACTGTAATTAAGTACACAGAAATTATTAATTATAACAGCATGAATAATTAATATTATATGTTAAATGTAGGCCTATGCTATTTAATACCTTACTAATTTTGCCATTCAATGTCTAACCCATCTTGTATATGTTTTAATATAATGTTGTTTTTCTTTTCCAAATTCGTTTGGATCTTCTACTCGACCAATTTAAAAATTGGAGACCTCGATTGAGGTCTCAAATTGAAGGTATGCACACAGAGATTTCACATCAAGCATCAGCATATATTTATTTACAGTCCCACTCCGGGGGATGCGAAATACTACCCCCCAGAAAACTACCACCACCCCCATGTGAAACGTGACGTGCCAATTAACCAATCTGGGAGTACACGACTGGAATACTACCCCCCCCCCCCCTTACCAAAATGTGGTGCTATGTACAGTAGAGTCCCACAAACTCGGCGTAATGTAGACTGGAAGGGTGCCGAGTTTGTGAAATACCGGGTAATCGGGAACTAGGGTTAAAAATAAGAACAATACAATTTGTATTCCTTTTAGCTGCCTTATTTATTGATATTTATATTACAAGTCATTATTAAGTCATCAGATATAGTAAAACAAATCCTTGGTACGAGTTGCGAATGATTTGACTTGAGCCCATGTTTAACTTAGACTCGAAAAATCACTAATTTTCTGAGCCAGGTGATGGCCGAGTTATCCAGACTGCCGGGTTATTGAGTGCCGAGTTTGTGGGACTCTACTGTACTTTAATTTTAATTTGAGTAGTTCCGTTTGATAAGAGAAAAGGCATGTGGAAAATATCAAACAGAATTTTGAAATGTTACAGCATTCAGTTAGGTACAGATACATGGTGAGGTTAGGTTAGTTTAGAACAGTTTGACAATGAAACTAAAATGTCGGTGAATGGAAAATTGCCCCCCCCCCAACCCCTCTGACATCAACATGACATAGGAACCTGCTTGGGGGGGTTAGTTGTCTGGGGTGCATTCTTCCAGTGACCGCCACTCCGATTATACATAAACAAAATTTGCTCCCCAAGTATATCTTATGGGAGTTAAATTCGGTTTTTCTTTTTCGAGTTCCTTTGGCTCTTCTACCCAACCAATTTACATTATCAAGGTCTCAAATTGAAGGTATGCACACACATATTTAACATCAAGCATCGACATATATTTATCTACTGTATTACTCAGCCAAAAACATAAATCGGATTTATTTTCGAATACTTACTTCAATTTAAGATTTATTTCACCCGTTAAAATCATATAATCCTATATATTTAGGTCTAAGAACCTTCAGTGAATTACCGACTTTCATTTAAGCTATTAGTTATTCAAATCGGACGAGTTTCAAGCAAACGCAAAGTAAACAACCAACATAAACATGATTTTTATAAGGTTTTTTCTATGATTATAGCTCCAGTATTGTTTGGTTGTTTTATATGTTTTAGACTTTAAAAAATCAGTAAACAATGAGGTTGTGGCTATAACTTAATTTGAGCTTTTGATCGTTTGAATCAGTAGTTAAGTTTGAGATACAGTATTACTCAATCATAAATCATAAATTAGATAATTTCTCAGATATGATATTTATTTTAACGCTGCAGAGCAGCATGCATGGGCCCTCTTGTTTAATACTATAATACTAATTTATAAAGATTATTTGGATGGGTATCAGTTAAGTATCATTGGTGTAGTGTTTTTGTTTATTTTTAACTATACTCACTCAGTTCACAAAATGTATGCGGTTTAAGGGGAAGAAAATAAATCCTACCATTGAAACATGGCTCAACAGCTGAGATTTGTCACACGTCATTCAGCTGTAACACACAAGTAGAAAAAAGAGGGGGGAACTTCCCCTCAAACCGCCTAAATATTGTGAATGGATTAGCCTATAATACAGTACAAACTTTTAGTAAAACAAAATACTAAATATCATCTAAATTATTCTCAAGTAGTGATATAATTTTTCTTTCATAGTAGAACTCTTTTATTATTATTATTATTTATTAGCATATGAGATGGGGACGCCAACTATTTGTGAGTTTTACCCAAATGCAAGTGAAGGAATGGTAGAATGGTGTGTGTGATGCCTTGTGTAGCCTGTTTCATTAGTCAAGACCATTTAATGAAAACCTAATGATCAAGGACAGTTGGGTCCAGTTTCGAACCATCAAAAAGCTGTGAATTTGCTACCGTTGATAAATAAACCAGTTGATACACTGATAAACTATTATATTTTCTACTTAATAACTTAAAAAAATATTACAGTACAAATTTGAACATTTAACTTCTGCAATCCTCGCAGCAGATGGGCAAATCCAACTAACATCAGAATGTAATTCTTAACATCAACTAAATGACATCAACCAATCTATTAGGGAAGTGAAATGACAAGATAAGAGATACATTCATGATTGTGAATGAGTGTTTTATGACAAATATTCCTCACATCGCTCGAAGACAACTTTCAGTTTGTGATTAATTTGAAAATTTAAACCTTCTGTCCTGTCTTCTCCATTAAACAGCACTACAAGAATGAACTGGTTTTAACATAATCAATGGGAGATTAGATACCGGTACAAGAATATTATGTCGTGACTAGGAATGATAAATAAAAAATAAAAAAGTATTACACAGTGAAGTGAACTAGCTTACAAAGATGAAACAAACTCGATTTCCCAATACAAATAATGGCATCATCCATGTAACTTTGTTATTTTTTTCTAGTTGTCAGCTGTTTCTTAAGCAAGGAAGGACCACTTCCATTAAAAGCCTGATAAAGTTGGCAAAGTCAAGTTTTGACATAAAAAAAACACTAAACTAAACTTTGGAGCAAGAGTGCAAGTCCAATCCTTAGTACACTCACAAGAAATTCTAGTGTTTGGATTAAATTATAAAGTGTGTCCTGCCGTGAGTGCCCCACGGTCAACGGGTGTCCATCATTGTCCTCCATGATGGCGGCTAAATAATGAACATTTCACTGTGATATAGCGAACATTTTCAATTTGAGATCGTTCTCAAACAATGGAGAGCACTTTGAAATGAATAAAATGAAATGAAAATCCTTCTTTATTGAGGCAAACACTTTCACACTGGTCATACAGTAGTCTTAAAAAAAAATACCATTACCAAAGAAGACAAAAACAACAAAAACTACAGCCTTTATTCGGCCTAGACAATTCACAATTAATTAATCAGACAGTTTATTTTAACAACAATTTTTCATAAAAAAAGAATCAAAAACATTTATACCAAACTGAAATATAGGAATTTTGCAACTGACATCTAAAGGTGTGTTGAGATCTTTCAATGTTAAGCCCTATCCCTTTCCAAGACTCTCCAAGGCAAAACACGTTACCATGCACCTATCTATCAATATAACATCAATATAACGTCTGTACTTACAGCCGAAGCTTTTCAGCCAATGGAGTGTCATCCATTAGTTCTGTATTTTGTTCAATTTCACTTGCAATTTGATCAGCGTGTTTTTCACCCTCTTCGTCTTCTTCTATATCTGACGATTGGCCTGGGAAAAGATCAGCACATTAGCAAATTCTTATTAAATCTGTATTTTCAAGTTGCACAAGGTCATAGATTGGCTTAATTATTTTTAACGAGTTTCCTTAAGTTTTATATTTTTTAATGGGGTTCAGATTAGTTTTATTTTCCAAATGCCTACCATGTATTTTACAAAATATTACTCCCTACAATACGGTAGCCTACATTAAAATTGTATATTTTAAATATATTTCAAGTCTCAAACATTTATGAAATAATGTTTCTATAAGATTATTCTTATTCATTTAAACATAGACTATTATGTTCATTCCTAGGCTTAACCAGCTGGTGTTATCACTGAAATCTTGTTTTTCCGGTTGGAGCCGTGTCAAGTTGGTTGCAACGATGCTTCGATGAGACATCCTCAGTGTCAAAGCTGAGACTAGAAGGACAGGGGTGAATCATGGTTAAATATAGGCCTACTTTTACTTCACATGAGCGAAATGTTTGATTTTGTACATAGTGTAAATACCAACTTGACGCGGTTCCTAGTTCCATCCGGGAGATCAAGATTTCAGTGACAGACCATTATGAACTAGGAGAGTTTTGCATCAAAAATTACCTTTTAATTTGATTATTCATTGCCTGTAAGCAATTTGAATGACCGGTGTTTAATACAAATATAATTTGAAAACTTTCTCTTATGCAAAAAAAATGTTTAATCTAATAAAAGTTAAAGAGCGTTAGGCCTATAGGTCTCTCATGTTGACTTGACAAATGGGAAATGTGGTTTACGTATTGATCATCTTAGCAGTTTTAAAATTTGTTCTAGGCCTACCGTACTTTTTTATCCTAGGCTATCGCATAGGCTAGATGTTATTAGTCAGAAAAATTACTAAATAACAATGAAAATGTTTAAATACAAAACAAAATTCTGTTAAGATTAGAATTCAAAGCCAATCACAAGCATTTAAACAATAGGTTTTTTTATAAGAAACAATGTAACACATGAAGCAATAGCATTTTAGGGCTCAAAACAGCACAACGTTACTAAATTTGTTAAAAAAACAAGATTAAATCTAGGTACCATAAACTTGCAAATGTCAGTAAACAATAACTAATTTAGAGTAAGATGTTAATCAGAAGCAAAAACCAATCCAGTCCAAGCCAACATGAAATAATTCAATACTGTTTATGGTATGTTAGGGAATCATAATTAAACCCTCAAAAATGTGAAATGTACAAAACAATTTCAATTCAACATGTACTTACAACACTGTTGCTAATTTCTACAGCCCTGAATTAAAGAAAATTTTTACAAGTTAGTAAGCATTATCAATTATGTGACATTCAGTTAACGAATAAATTAGGCCTACAATAATAGTGGTGACATGTATAGCCCAACTTCACAGTTAATCCTTTGGACAGTAAAAGTTTTAACTTACCGTACCGTATGTACAATTTGGTTAAATTACATAATATAGGCTAGGCTATGCCAACAAAGTTTCAACTGTAATGTATTTATTTGAGAAATACAAATAACTTAACTTAAGTTTACAATAGAGTCTCGATTATAACCTTCTGTGTTATCCGACTCTTCATTTGGATAATGTAACCATATAACTTATAAGCTATGTAAACAGATAGAACTAAAAACGAGCCTATGCACTTTCGGCCTTCCATGTTTAGCGATTCTACAACAAGAAATCGTCTAGTACAGTACTGTAACTTCAACCACATATTCTATTTATCCTGTCTTGGATACGCTGTAGGCCTAGAGACTATTACTGAAAAACTTGTAAATTTGCATCCACATCCAATTAATTGTGAGCCGTACCTGTGACCTTTTGTAGGTCGGAGAGCATCTGCAGAGTAGCCATATGAGATGTAGAGTGAGCTCGAGGTCGGAGAAGGCAAGTTAAAGGTTCGTAATCGTCTGAACTATGCCCTGTATTCATTTCTAATTGACTCTTATTTCTTCTCAACTCCTGAAATGTTGTTCAAATTTGATAACTTGGTAAGTTATGTACATCCCCTATTTAGTTAAGGAGTTATTCAGCATTCACAATTGCCCGGACGGCATTCACAATTGCCTACAATTTTGGGGTAAATGTGAACTCAGTTGAGAAAACTAAGTTACATACTACAGCATAGGAGGGGAATTTTGATTAAAGCCTAATTCAAACTGTTCACAAATTTCCCACTTTCAATGGCATGTTACAAAAAATAAGCGTCCAAATGAGATTTTTCCGTGGTAGGTCCTACTTTGAAATAGTTAGAAAATCAGGTAGATGTAAAAATAATAAAAAATGGTCAGAGTGATTAAAATTAATGTATTGAATGGGTAAAATAGTATTCTTATACAAGAGAAAATAATATAGAGTAGTTATTTGATACAGTAGGCCTAAAGTAAAAATTGAAAGGAAATGACAAAATAATATCACTTGAAAGAGCACAAATTTGTTTTTTTAAAATTATTGAAATCCTACTGTAATAACAATCAACCATTAGAAAAGAAAACTAAATTACCTTGGTTAGATAAAATAATTAGGCACTTTCCTTTTAGGTTATACAAAATATTAGTTGTACTAAATTTTTTTTTTTATCTTGGAAAACTAGCTTATTTAGAAATCATATCACTAACAGATGTGCCTACTAACTATCCTGTCCGCCTACATCTCAAAAACTTTAACACAACCGGGAAACTTGTAAGTAATCTGTGTTTCTTTTACAGGCGGGGTAAAAGGGAACAGCGTTCACAACTACCCCCACATAAGGTAGTGAAATATTGAGGGTAATTGTGAATTTGATCAAATAAAAAGAAAATTGCTTACAAGAAGGGTATGAGGATATATAATGCATTATACATTTGAAATTCTTTCATAAGGGCTGGTTTTCATGTCAATCTGACTTTGACTTTTTTCACACAAAAAAATTAGTTAAGGTCTACGCAACTTGTTTGTCAACAAAAAACGCAACTTTTTTATTCAACCTAAAAAAAATTGTAAGCGGCTCTTAACTTTGTAGAATTTTTATCCTGTATAGAAAACAAACCAAATAAACATAAAACATTTAACATACAAAACATTGTAAACATTGAAGACATGTAGGCTACACTAGTTGCTCTTAAAGACCTATCAAAGAACAACTTCTAGACCTAACATACTTTGGGACAAACTATTTATTACCAATGTGTTTAACCCTCCAAGTGTCTCTAGTTTTGGTCTTAATGTTCGCCCATTTATTGCGCAATCGCAGGGTTTTTTTTTAATGTAGCCTATCTTAGAAACTTAAAAACAATGTAAAGTATGCTGTTTTATATATCATTTTGTTTGGAAAATTATGGGCTTCAAGATGTAATATATAAAACATAAAAAAAAATGTTCAACAATTTTTGTGGGGTTAACATTTCTCAAAAATTATAAAATAAATGAAAAAATGTATGTTTGCGCTCAATAAATTGTTATAATTTATAGGTCTACAAATATTTTAAAATAGCCACTTTGTTCAGAATTTTATGAGGATTCCAAAAATATAATAATATAAGGAAGTAGATTTGCAAATAAATAAGTTTATGGGCAAAAAACAGATTTCGGTACATAGCTTTTAGCTAAGAATGCATAGCCTAACCATAGCTAGGAATCTGGCTGATAATTTACATCAATATCACTACCTACTTCTTCAGGATCATCAACCAGCCCTTCAAAATCACTTAAATCTTCTTATAATGCACCACGTATATCACTACTTTTGATTTTTAACACTAAAACAATGATAAACGTAATAAAACACATCAGTCATCGGTGCGAGGTTAACCAAGCTGTTTACAAATACGCACGTCAGCTGTCTGCTATAATTATGATCGGCTCAAGTAAAAAAAAGCGCTTGGAGACAGACCTCGGGAGAAAGCTTAGAATCTGCCAAATAAAACGATACCGGTAACTTAGGTAGGCCTACCTAACTCAATCCAGTTCAATCCGATTTTGTCAGTCATAGAGCCTTCGCCGTAAACAGTGTTTGTGAGTCGAAAAATCGACACAAAATACTACACAGAGTGTGTTATGTGTCGATTTTACGACACATAACACTCGGAGGGTTAAATTTACTAAGCTTATATTTTACTTATACTTAGGCCTACGGTAGCCTATACTTTAATCTGAAACATATGAATATTTTAAGCCAAGCATGATTGGAGATGAGTGTAACAGGATGAGTTGCGCGATCTTATAGTCTTGTTAGGCTACGTACTGACTGAGGCCGACATGCTCCTTAGGCCAAGGCCCCACTAGAAAAACAGGCCATGCTGCAGGAACCATGACGTCACACTAGTGGATAGATTTCATTGATAAATTAATTGCCATCACCATTCCCATATGTTTTCGGTAAATAAACAAGCTGACTGTTTGTAAGATTTTAATGGTAAGAGTTTAGTACAAATATCCACCACTGTGACGTAGTGTTGCGCTGCACGTGCTCCAGCCTGGCCTGTTTTTTCTAGTGAGGCCTTGCTTAGGCAGGACTGTTAATAGCCCATACAGCCAATGGCAACTAAGGGACCTAACTTCGGTACAGTTTAAAGTGGAATCCAAACCACATTTTTACCTTGTAATAAGTTAGAGACAAATTATTGTAGCCACTAGCAATCAGGTTACCGTACTCTCCATACTTAAGCTAAACTTAAGAAAGATAACTATAAAAATGACTTGAAGTGCAACTCTATCCTTATCCTAGGTAACCTAGGCCTAACTTGTATTGAAAACTGGCTGTGCCTAAACTATTGCTAAAACAAAAATGAAAATTATAACACTTACCCCCATTGCAGTGTTATTTTCTTGAAGTAACAATGGATTATATCATTTCTGAGTATTCCCAAACACTACGCTGGAAAATCTTAAAATAACTAGCCCACTCTAAGTCCATAATATTTGAGGATGGCTAATTCTAATCTTTACTCAGAGAACCAGAAGAACATAATAAAGCAGACGACACTGACTACTCTCACTCTCACTCTCATCTATCTCTAACTATTTTTGACCGAATATTGGACCGAGACCGAGACCGAACCGAGATTAAAGAAGGAATGCTGGAACAACAGAACGCAAGGGCAGAGGAACAAGAAATGTGAACCAGTTTAGTGTTAAGTGACCATTGATTTTAGAGCTAAGCTTACGTACTTTACAATAATACAATTCTTATATACTCTTCAGATCAAGGCCGTAGCCAGGACAAATGTTCGGGGGGGTCTGGTTAGTGGTGGTTGTATCAAGGGGGGGGGGTAGGGGGATGTGGAGCACCCCCAAAAAGAAAGGGGTCTGTGGGTCTCCCCAGGAAAATTTTACATTTTTAAAGCCATTTGGTGACTTTTGATAGAAGTTTTTAACGTTTAAAACTTTGTCCAATTCTCCAAAAACACCCATTTTACCTGTTGTTTGTAAAGTATTACGTCTTACGACTTTCTTGGTCAATTGGAACTCCCATGTCTTCTGGTCCTGGAACCCGCTCAATAAGATCCGTTCGGAGCACACAACGCTTCCACTGAACTATAGAGATACCAATGGGGGTAGCACTGAAAGAGAGAATTGAGAGACGTTATACTAGCACTAGGGGTACCATTGAACAAATGTATTTCGGAACATTTGAATCCAGTGGTGAGTTTTACATTGTTGTTATACAAATACGTTAATTAGGGTTCAAAAGGCTAATAAGCAATTGCAACGTATGTTTCATGATTTTAACAAATCAGATTTATAAAGCGGCTGGACCGATTTTTATTACCGGTTCCGGTACAATTTGGTATGCTACGGACCTTATGATTCCTAGACAAATAAAGGTACAACCATTGACTGTTGTATTATTAGTCTAAGGTACAACCATAGACTAAGCAACACAAGAGATTACACCAGTTCAAACGTATTTTCAACTTTTGTGATTTTCCCCATGAAATATCATACTTACTCCTACCGCAGAATAAAGGTTGTTTGTGCTAATGGGAGAAATTTTGTCAGATTGTTGATATCTTCCATTTGTTTTACTTATTAGTAGACACTGCAAACTAGCATAATAGATAAAACATACTCCTCATGTTTTATCTATACTAGCATACAATTAATTGTATCTCCCTAGGAGATGATACCTATATAGCCATATCATGGATTTTTTGTATTACGGTATTTGTTTTATGATAAATGTAGACTAGTATAATTTGATCAAAACCAATAACGAAGTATTCTGGCTTGAATTAAAATTGTGCCTTTAAATACTTCAAGGGAGTATATACTCTGTGATCCTTTAAAAAACGTCAGCTGTCCCAAACGTAAATGCAAAACATATTTCGTTTACTTTAGAAACTTTTTTGATTCTTTATCAACACATGCACCGGGCTCCCCTGATTTTATCAATTATTAGTTTGGCGATTAGCTTCGACTATTGCACCTTGAAGTGCAAGATTGGCGGTAAATACGTAAACCACACTATGTGTCAATATAGAGAAGGCGGAGGAGAAAACTGTGCCTCATGGAAGAGTACGATGACCTTTGACATGATACGGACGCTAGAGACACGTCACAACAAGATGAGAGAACTAACCGCGTCGAGCAGTGAGACATACAAGCTGGGACCTGTCCCGAACATGTTGAGACTTGCTTGGAGTGACGACCTCATGGCTACGGCACAGCGTTGGGCCGACCAGTGTGAGAAAAACATGTCCGACGTTTGTAGAACCTCTTGGAAAGGTGTAGACACTGAACAAATCATGTTCAAATACTACTCATCTGACAAGTACTTCACCCCTTTGACCGCAATTCAGAGCTTATTAGTTAGTTTGGAGAAACAACTGGAAGGTGAAATCACAGAGATTTTACTGGGTCATAATCTCCGGATCCTGTTGAACAGCAAGTCAGACATGTTCGGATGTGGGTTTGCCTGGAGTGTGGCCAAAGAACAAGAACATCCATGGTTGTATGAGTACAGGCTGGTCTGCAACTACTTGATGAAAACTGGTAAGTTGAGTGCTTATAAGGTTGGCGAACCTTGCTCAAAATGCCCTAGAAACACCAAGTGTGATAGTTCCAGTCAGTTCCCTAGTCTGTGTGCTATGAAAGTCCTACAAAATGACCCGAGTCCTGTCACCTTTTGTGACCCTGAGGAGGATTATGCAAAAAAATACTTTAGAGAACATAAGTCCAATGGTTGTGCTTGTTTTCCTGATGTCATCAGAGTGGTCATTTGTTTAATGTCAGTTTTTTGTCACTTCATGGGATTTTTGACAATAAACCTGTAGTACGCCTAAACAGTGTAGTTTTTTTGGGATTCTCTACTTATTTAGTTTCAAATGATCATGCATATTTTTTAAATAGTCTTCATGTTCACAAGCTGATAAATTTATACCCCAGTGTTCAGTATGATTGTGAATGTTCAGAGTAGGTTATTTCTGTGATTCTTGGCTAAAACAGCCAGTGAGCCAGATAATATATACCTATTACAGTATTTAAGGTTTTTAAAACATTCCCAAAAGGTTATATATAATTAACTCCAACAGAAATTAAGGTATTTCTACCAAACTCTTGATAAGAATATGAGCTAATCATGACCAATCATGGCTGAAATAAGCCTACCTAAATCAGCGAAAGTTAAGTTGAAACCAATAATTAAGTTAGCCTATAGTTGGACAAACGAAACATAAACAGTAATAATTACAATTTTTGATGTTATATATAATTCCACCTGTCATCTCTAAAATTTACTTAGGTCCTATATGCCATTTGCCATTATATTCTAAACGGACAATTTTCTTAAGTCCATACAAGGATAGCTTTTTGTATATCGTACATGTAAGGGATTGTTTTGTTATTTTTTGTTTTATTCTGTGAGAAAATAATCAAAAAAGTATCAAGAATCATTATTTATTCCCTAGCCAATTTCCAAGGGAAATGTTTCATATCACTGCATTTCAAATATTTTATCTATAAATTTGTTGTCATATTTTCAATATTAAGAGTTTTCAAAGAAGAGTAATCACTTCACACCAGGGAGACTAATGCAGTATTGTATTGTAATATGCCTACCTAACTGCAATAAATATCATCAAAAATCGATTGCGTTTGCATACCATACAGCCCAAATTATATGTATTTCACAAATCTATGTAGTGGACAAAATATCTCTGGAATTTATATGCTATGAACCTTTAATTTTGTCCAATGTAAAAATGGAAATTCCCTTTGTTGCATTAAAACTTTGGTCAATATGTATACGAAATATTAAATATTGGTGAGTCGGTGGCTCAGTTGGTAGGTATCGTCACAGACTTCAAGCCGAAGGCAGCGATGTCGTGGGTTCAGATCCTGGTCACTGCCGCAAACATTTTTTTCAGTACAGTTCATCTTTTTACCGTACCGGCTTACCCCTTGCTTTGCTGGATACGTTCCTCGCACTGATCTGTAGTCTATGTGGTCGGGAAAATTCAAGGTTAAAAGAGGCCACCAACCTCTTAAAAAATATATATAACCACCCATTTTTTTTAAGAATAAATCAGGTAGGTATAAAATACAAAATGCGCTTTCGTTTAAACTAAATATATTCCAAAATAAAGTATTTAAAAACGAAAATACTCAACAGAGAATTTTAAAACAAATGTTATTTATTGTGGTTTTTGAAAGCTCGGACAGTTCTGTCCTTAATTACAATACCCTACATCAAATTAATTATTATTTCCAATAAACCATTATTTTTATCACAAAAGATGTTCACATAAAACCGTTCCCCTTGACCATTAATTGATTTGTTGGTCTGTGAGAGTGCGGGAAATGTTGACAGACAACAGCTGACTGGATGTGGGAGCCAACAGCTGATCGTAATGGCGCGAACATGTCACCGCCACTTAGACTTGCCACCTCTGGTCGATCGTATCGGTTTCTTACACCGATCTTTAAATGCATCTGATGTCTCCGTTCAGAGATTTCTCTCTGCTTGACAGTTATGTCAGATGCAGCCTGCTCGTATGCGAGGAACAATTTCCCAACGCGATGAGGAATAGTTTTTATATTTTTTATGTATTTGTAAATCGTATGGCTTCCTCAGCCACATTCCAAAGATGATTGATGTTGTAGAAATAGTTCAGTATAGGCCTAATGCATTTCACGGCTTACTTGAATGAATTTATCTTTAATTAATCCTATTATCACCCTGGAGAAATACTATGATCTGCAACCACTCAGTCTGAGAAGGAAATGTTACGACCTGCAGTTTCTCTTCAAACTCGTGAATGGTATCATCGACTGCACATCTTTGCTGAATAATATAGAATTCTCTGCCCCTAAAGGAACCAGGTCCAAAACGTTATTTGCCAGAGGATTCCAAGCAAGGAATTACTCCTACCATCATGGGTTGTCAAGGTTGCTGAGGATGGGTGGAGAGGCTTCGACTCACATTGACTTCTTCGGGATTTCTTCTTCCTCATTCAAGAGAGACGCCTCAAGATATTTACAAGGGAGAACATCTTAGAAGCATTTTCCTGCCCTCCTGTGGGAACAAGTGATGTGTAGTTCTTGTTTAGGTGGTGCCTTTAAAGGGCCACACCTTAGTTCTGTTTTGAGGCTGGTGTTACCTCAGCAAGGTGCAGTGCAATATAGGTGGTGCCTTTAAAGGGCCACAAATGAAAGTTGGCGCTTTTTAGCATGGTGTTTGGTGTTTGACACAGTGTTCTTCCCATGTCATGCATGCATACACACACACATACTCCCACAAATTATACTTTTGTTAATACTTTTGTAATATTTTACTGTCTTTTGTTATTATTTTCACAGTTTATAATTTGTTATCTTTGTTGCCATAGTCTATTTTGTTGGTCTTATTTAATCGTTGTTGTTATTGCCTGTTGTAAAGTTACCGTCATTACTGCTTGTTACTTGTTACCATTATTACTAGGCATAGTCTTCTTGTTGTTATTTATTGTAGTTTTCAGGTCCCACTCATGTATTTATTGCCAGCTTCCTTATTTATTATTATTGCACGATTTTTGCACATACACACACACACTCCCACAAATTACACTTTTTTAGTACTTCTGTAATATTTTGCTGTCTTTTGTTATTATTTTCACAGTTTATAATTTGTTATCTTTGTTGCCATAGTCTATTTTGTTGGTCTTATTTAATCGTTGTTGTTATTGCCTGTTGTAAAGTCACCGTCATTACTGCTTGTTACTTGTTACCATTATTACTAGGCATAGTCTTCTTGTTGTTATTTATTGTAGTTTTTAGGTCTCACTCATGTATTTATTGCCTGCTTCCTTATTTATTATTATTGCACGATTTTTGTAACCACTGTTATTAACTTATTATTTGCTACTTATGTATAGTTCATAGTATGACAAAATTGTATTAATGGAGAAACCGTTGGAATAAATAAATAAATTAATAAATTAACTTCTTCAAAAGAAAGTTAAAGGTACTAAGATATTGAAGTACATTTTCGCTCAACAAAGACTGGGAAATCTTCCAGTAAAATCCAAAGCCAACATTACTGCACTATTCACTATGCAGAAATAATGTTTAATACGAAGCAAGTTACTTATTGGTCGGTATGTGAGAATGTAATAATTCCTTCAGAACATTTAATGTAATGTTTCAAAGTAAACTTTAAGGGCTAATTAGACAAATTACAATTAAATCTAAATTATTATATTTGAAAAGTTGAATATTTTAATTGTAATTTTTTTATTCAAAAAAGATTGTAGTAGATAAATTCTAATTAGGCTCAATAGGAAACGAATCCTTTTATGCAGATTTCTAATCAAAATTCAACGTAACTTATGGATTTAAAAAAAATTCCTTTTGGTGGAGTTTTGGTGTTTAATGTGTTATTACACTACTTATTCTCATTTCATCACTGAACTAAGTACACCAAGTGTCTCCGAAATGCAATAAAACACGAAATTCAGTACAGAACTATAAATTCATCGTGACATTAAAAATACTACGGCGCTGTCTAGCAATACAGAGTCATGTGTGTATTGCGGATATTGCGTCGGGAAAATACCACGGCGTGGTCGGCTAATACACTATTGGTAAATTCAGTCGAAGATGTTATATATATCCAGAATCAGGGAATGTTTGTATCAAAATGTAATTTTTAAAATACCCCCGCCACAGCAAACCTGCAGGCTAAGCGAACTTCTATTTACCTGGCTGAATTTATACTAAAATATTCCCTTAAAATCGGAAGAATTATTTCCTATTTAAATAACAATATTTTTTATGATACTTAGGTTTGCTGCTACAGGGAAGGTAATGAGGTGTGTTTTTTATTAAATTGTTGATAGCTTAGCATGAAAAAACAAAATTGCAAATTTTATATTGAAATATATTAATAAACAAGCCAACTTCAACAATTTATGTATTCTCCATAAGAATAACATGGAAATTTTAAATTTACAATTATTTGAATTATCTTCGTAACCCTTAGGCATACAAAAACGCTTCAATATACTAAATTATTTATTTTTTAAGCTCTACAAAATAGTTTAGAAAGATAATAAGCAATTTCATATTTTTAGGGTAAAAATGTGAAACCCCAATAATTGATATTATAATATTATTATTATTATTACCCAATAAAACCCCCATTCCCATAGTACAATCATGCTGGTTCGCGAACTCGTTCGAATAAATGTAGGTTTACACGTTTGTACCAAATTTTATCAAAATCGTATAATCTTTGCTCCAGTTATCGCGATAACGAACATATACAATTTAAATAAATTAATTTGAATGGGTGGTGTTTTGGGCCTCTGGGGCCTGAAAACGAAAAAAGTAAATCGGTCCCGGATCTAGGTCTTACTATGAATCCTAAGGTATTAGTTTATTCCCCATATGGTAAATTCGCTGAAACCTTAATAGGAAACCACCGAATTTTGTTTTCCCTTCAAGTACAAAAATCCCGAAAATAGTATTTTCTAAATACAAACTAGTAGTTATTTTAACATTGACCGATCCCAATGAAAGCCTGACTTATCTAAGTGGCTGCGATTGAGTGTGGTATTTGTGTCAATATCCCGTCTGTAGACTACAGAGTCTCAAGCACCAGGAGTAGGAAGATGTCTACATGTTTCTGACAGCCACTTAGCCTTCTCTCTGCTTCACTTTATCTAATTGCAGCTTTCTTCACAAGTACTACAGTAAGTGTGGCGGTGCCAAAAGATTCCAGAAGTATTATTCAAGTTGTGGCGTTGTAGATTCGTTTTATGGATTTCAGATAGAATCGTCATTTTTACATAATTTA